TTTTCTTCTAAAAGTTTCATAATTTTATTATTTAGACCTATGATCCATTTTGTGTTAATTTTTTTGTGTAGGGCTAAGGTTCAATTCTTTGCTTTATCAAATTGTTTCAGCACCACTTGCTGAAAAGACTTATTCTTTCCCTTCAACTGCTTTTGCACCTTTGTCTGGCTGTGTTGGTGTGAATCTATTTCTGGGTTCTCTATTCCAATTTATTGATTTGTGTGTCTATCCCTTGGCAGATACCACACTGTCTTGATATTGTATTTATGTAGTAGTAAGTCTTAAAATCAGCACGATTCCAACTTTTTCAAAATTGCTTTAACTTCCCTTGCCCTTCCATGTTAACTTTATAATGAAGCTGTCTGTAACTACAGAGATTCTTGCTGGGATTTTCATAGGAATCGCCTTAAATCTGGAGTTCAGTTTGGAGGGAATTGGTATCTTTATTATGTTCAGTCTTCCAATACATGGACATATGGACATCTCTCCATTAATTTAGATCTTCTTTAAGTTCTTCATCAGGGTTTTGTAGTTTTTAGCATACAGATTCTATATACATGTTTTGTCAGACTTACACCTAAATATTTCTCCCTCCTTCTACTTCCCTCCTTACCCCCTGTATTCCCCCCCCCGTGTAAATAGTATTGTATTTTAAATTTTGGTGTCCAATTATTTATTGACAGTATATATAAATACAGTTGATTTTTGTATGTTAATCTTGTATCCTGTTAAACTTGCTAAACCCATTTATTAATTATACAAGTTCTTTGTAGATTCCTTGGGACTTTTTATATATACAGTCATGCCATCTGCAAACAGAGAGTTTTATATCTTCCTTTCTAATCTTTTCCTTGCCTTATTGAACTGGTTGGGACTTTAACCACGAGAGAGGGTTCCTGATTTTAAGAGAAAACTGTCTGGTCTTACACCATTAAGTATGATTATAGCTGTAGGGTTTCTGTAGACTTTTTTAAAAAAGATTTTATTTATTTGACAGAGAGCACAATCAGTGGGAGCAGCAGAGGGAAAGGGAGAAGCAGGCTCCCCACTGAGCAGGGAGCCTGCAGTGGGACTCCTGGGGCTCTTGGCTCATGGGGCTTTGGGCTCATGGGGCTCTGGTTTTGATCCCAGGCCCTGAGATCATGACCTAAGCCAAAGGCAGACACTTAACTGACTGAGCCACCTAGGCACCCCTCTGTAGATGTTCTTTAGCAGGTTGAGGAAGTTCCTTCTATTCTTTGCTGAGTTTTTTTTCATAAATGAATACTAAATTATGTTAAATGTTTCTTTCTGTATTGATTGGTATGATCATATACATTGTTTGTTTAGCCTGTTAATATGGTAAATGAGAGCAATTGGTTTTCTTATATTGAACCAGTCCGGCAACTTTGGAGTAAACTCTACTTTGTTATGATTTATAATTCTTTTTTTATACTGCTGGATGCAGTTTGCTAGAATTTTGTTGAGAATTTTTACGTCTTTGTTCATGAGAAATTTTGGTCTGTAGCTTTCATTTGTATAATCTTTGTCTGGTTTTGGTCTCATAAAATTAGTTAGGAGGGGCGCCTGGGTGGCTCAGTTGTTAAGCATCTGCCTTCGGCTCAGGTCATGATCTCAGGGTCCTGGGATCGAGCCCCACATCAGGCTCCCTGCTCCGCAGGAAGCCTGCTTCTCCCTCTCCCACTCCCCCTGCTTGTGTGCCCTCTCTTGCTGTCAAATAAATCTTTAAAAAATAAATAAATAAAAATAAAATAAAATAAAATTAGTTAGGAAATGTTCCTCCTCTATAGAAAAGAGATTGTGTATAATTTGTTTTTTTTTTTTTTTTTTTGGTAGAGTTCACCACTGAAATGTGGACCTAGATATTTCTTTTTTAAAGGTTTATTTTTTTAACTATGAATGTAATTACTTGAATAATTACAGGACTATTCAGATGATCTGCTTCATCTCAGGTAAGTTTGGTAGGTTGTGGTTGCCTAGGAAATTGGTCCATTTCATCTAAGTTGCTGAATTTGTATATAAAGAGTTGTTTGTACAGGCATAACTTATTTTATTGTACTTTGTAAGTACTGCAATTTTTACAAGTTGAACATTTGTCGCAATCCTGTCAGCACCACTTTTCCAACAGCATCTGTTTACTTCTTAAAAAAAAAAGATTTTATTTATTGGGACACCTGGGTGGCTCAGTGGCTGAGCATCTGCCTTCAGCTCAGGTCATGATCCCAGGGTCCTGGAATCAAGCATCAGGCTCCCTGCTAAGGAGCCTGCTTCTGCTTCTCCTTCTCCCTCTGCCTGATGGTCCCCTTGCTTGTATTCTCTGTCAAATGAATGAATACTTTTTTTTAAAAAAAGAATAAAGTCTATTTAAAAAAAATTGGTATTTCGGGCACCTGGGTGGCTCAGTCGTTAAGCGTCTGCCTTCGGCTCAGGTCATGATCCCAGGGTCCTGGGATCGAGCCCCACATCGGGCTCCCTGCTCAGCGGGAAGCCTGCTTCTCCCTCTGCCACTCCCCCTGCCTGTGTTCCCTCTCTCGCTGTGTCTCTCTCTGTCAAATAAATAAATAAAATCTTTAAAAAAAAAAAATAAAAAAAATAAATAAAAAATAAAATAAATAAAAAATAAATAAATAAAAAAAATTGGTATTTGAGAGAGGGAGTGCTCCTGCACAAGGGGGAGAGGGGAGAAGCAGGCCACTGAGCAGGGAAGCCCCACAAGGATGATCCCAGGACCTTGAGATCATGACCTGAGCTGAAGGCAGATGCTTAACCGACTGAGCCACCCAGGCGCCCCGCATTTGCCTACTTCTGTGTCTGTCATTTTGGTAATTCTCTTGATATTTCAAACTTCTTATATTTGTTATGGTGATCTGTAATCAGTTATTACAACTCACTGAAAGCTCAGATGATGATTAGCATTTTTCATCAATAAAGCATTTTTTAAATTACTTTTCTTTAGACATAATGCCATTGCAAACTTAATAAACTACGTATGGTGTAAACATAAATTTTGTATGTACTGGGAAACCAAAAAAAAATTTGACTCATTTTATTGTGATATTCACTTTATTGCAGTGGTTTGGAACCCAACCCACAATATCTCTAAGGCATGCCTGTAATATTCTCTAAGTATCTTTTGCATATGAGGATCTTTAGTGCTATCCCTGCTTTCGTTTCTGGTAATCATAATTTGAGTCTTCCTTCTTTTTAAGATGTTTTTAAAGTAACCTCTACACCCAACATGGGGCTCAAACTAATAACCCCCGATCAAGAGTTGCATGCTCTACTGAGCTGGCCAGGCACCTCCAGTTTTCCTTCTCTTGTTCTTCTTTTTTGTCAGTCTTGCTAGATGCTTATCAACTTTATTGATCTTTGCAAAGAACCACCTTTTACATCGAGTTTCTCTACTGTTTTTGTGTTCAGTTTTATTGGTTTTTGTTCTTTATTATTTCCTCACTTCTCTTCCCTTTGGGTTTATTTGGCTCTTCATTTTCTAGTTCCTTGAGGTGGAAGCTTAGATTACACTTCCATTCTTTTAAAAATACCCTTCAGTGTTTCCAGAATACTTGGTTCCCTGAAGAACTCCTGTTTATCCATCAAAACTCAGCTCAGGGGCACCTGGGTGGCTCAGTCTGTTAAGCATCTGCCTTCAGCTCATGTCATGATCTCAGGGTCCTGGGATAGAGCCCTGCATCCAGCTCCCTGCTCCGCGGGGAGCCTGCTTCTCCCTCTCCCTCTGCCTGCAGTTCCCCCTGCTTGTGCGCGCTCTCTCTCTGTCAAATAAATAAATAAAATCTTAAAACAACTCAGCTCAAGGAGGCTGAATAGGGTTGTGGCCAGCTTTTCCTCCTTACCCCCACATAAACCCCCAAACTTGTGATTAATGAAAGAATCTGAAGCTAAAAGGAGAACTACAGGATTTAAATGGTGCTGGGAGCGAAGTTCTCAGGAACCTGACCCCCTTCCAACCTCCAGTCAAATGGGGTCATAAAAATGCCAACTCTCATGTGTAGGCTTACAGTTCACAGGGTTATACTGGGTTTCACAGCTGCAAAACAGGAATTATCATTCCCTATTTGAGTGTTGGGACAACTCAAGTAGGGAAGAGTTCTAGGTCCCCAGTGCAGGTCTAACTCATTTTTGAAGGGAACTCTCCCGAAGCTATACCAGTCTGGCCAGAGGAAACTCCTCCCTACTGGCCCTTGGGAGCCACGAACCTCCAGGCGCCGTCCCGCCCTGCCCGCCAGGGGGCGCACGTCCCTGCTGGGGTGGACAGAGGCCGATGAGCTAGCTGATCGGTAAAGGTTGAGGGGTGTGGGTGGGTCAGCGTGCTCTCGGGGGAGCCGTGAAGGTAGGGCCTACGGTTCATAGCCTGGGGCCCCAAAGGCTGACTTGAGGGGTCAGCCCTTGCAAGACACAGGGGAGAAGAACGGGTCCCCGTGTCCTACAGGGGAGACCAGAGGCGGCGGCGTCTGCCGAGCGCCCAGCCTCACCCCTCAATCCCCCACTCAGTCTCTGGGCAGCAGGGACCTTGGGCGGGAGATCGGTTCTGCCAACTCAGCCACGCCTCCTCTGACCAGAGGTACTGCGACGGACGCGGGAGTCCACCCCTGCCTTTAGGTCCCTTAACCTTCTTGAACCCTCCCGGCTGTCTTTGTAAGCCCCTACCCCAAATCCTCCGCGCTTCTAGAAAAGTCTCCTTTCTCCCCTTCTCCCCTTCAGGACCCCTCCGTAGGGTCCAAGAACTTGGACTGACCTAGGAAAGCTTACCCTCCCGAGCTTTGACTTAGTACACGCCTCCTGCCTCCGCACCCCGCTTGCGTGGCGTACATATGGTGGAGCCGGTCTCCCAGCGCTCTCGCGTTACTTAGACACACCGCACGGTCGCGCGAACGCCCAGAGGGGCGGGGAGAACGGAGGCCGGGAAGGCGATTCGTGGATCGCGGGGGGCGGGCGCGCGTGCGCACTGCGCAGCCCTTTCGGGATTCCCCCCCCCCCCCCCCCAGCCGTAAGGGCGGCCGCGGTCTCGCGATCCTCCGGCGCGCCGCGTTTCTTCTCTTCCTCGGTCCTGCGTGTCCGGCGCCGCGAGCTCAGTCCGAGCGGGTGGGCGCAGCGCTTGAGTGGCTTGGCCCGGAGCGGGCCGCGTGCTCGGGAAGAGGACTGTGGACTGGAGAGTGTAGGCGCGGGGGAAGGGAGCGGGTGGAGGGGCCTGAGGCTGGGGGCGATGCCCTCAATGAATAGGAACTGGGGGTGAGGGAGATCCGGGAGCTTGAGGTGAGTGGGAGGGAACTAAGGCAGGAGGGCGTTTGAGTGCGTCCCTTCCTCTCTGCACCGTTTGGGCTGGAAACGGGGTGGCAAAGGCAACAAAGTCTCTTGTCGCCTCACTCTGATCTCTCTTCCCCGCGTCAGGGCACACAGCATGGCGGAAAACCGAGAGCCCCGCGGGGCCGTCGAGGCTGAGCTGGATCCGGTGGAGTATACCCTTCGGAAGCGGCTCCCCCACCGCCTGCCCCGGAGGCCCAATGACATTTATGTCAACATGAAGACTGACTTTAAGGCCCAGTTGGCTCGCTGCCAAAAGCTTCTGGACGGAGGGGCTCGGGGTCAGAATTCATGCAGTGAGATCTACATTCATGGCTTGGGCCTGGCCATCAACCGTGCCATCAACATTGCCCTACAGCTTCAGGCAGGCAGCTTCGGGTCCTTGCAGGTGGCTGCCAATACCTCCACCGTGGAGCTTGTCGATGAGCTGGAACCAGAGACTGATACACGAGAGCCTCTGACCCGCATCCGCAACAACTCGGCCATCCACATCCGGGTCTTCAGGGTTGCACCCAAGTAATGGCAATGAGGATGGCCACCTTATCCACCCACCCCCACATAAGTAGGCTCAGCTATGGCTCTTCTTGTACTGAGTACAGTCATGGACCTTCTACCAGAGCCACGTAAGAAAAAGCCTGTCCCCTTACAGCCCAGAGGACTCTGAACTGCGAGGGAGAGTATTGTCTCTTGTTGGGCCCAAGCAATGGGTCTTTGCGAGTCTTTGTGGTCTGTAACCATTGTCCTAGACAATAAAAACTACCAAGTTGTGTTAGTATGCAGCCACCCCACTGCCACTGTCTCTGCCCTGTGTAAATTCTGTATGTACGGGGAAAGGGAGAGTAGGCACCTTTGCAAGTATTTACATACAGGAGGGACCCCCAGGTGTTTCTTGCCTTTGCAGAGAGCAGAGATAGTACTACGGACAGTGTAACAAAACAAACTTCAGTACAAGCAAAAGCCTGAGAATCCCAGTGTTTGCTTTAAATTTTTTTGTACTCTCAGAGGCAGGCCGAGTGGATAAGGTATATACTTTTACCTGCTGAAAGCGCAGCTGGGATGGTTGTAACTCAGGAAGCATCAGGCTTCTTGGTGGCGGTTCCCAGGACGAGGGAGGTGAGCATTTAAAGACGAAGGGAGCAAAGACTGGGACCTCCTTTGTGTCAGGCTCTGTGATAGGGACTAACACACTGCTTCATTTGATTCCCAGTCCTGCTGGGCCCAAGTGGTTCCAAGCAGCTGTGGTCCAGAGTTCTTTAGACCCTCCTGGGTGGGCTGCTCTAGTGGGAAGGGAGTGCCTCCTGCCTGAATTACCGGGCACACAGATAATAAGTATTTTTTGTTCAGATATTTGTAAAGGGATCTGATTTCTCATGTTTATCAAGCTAGAGTCATCTAAAGCAATGTTTATCAGAGTGGGTGGTGATCCATTTGTGGGTCTCAAAATCAATTTACTGGGTCCGGGCCTTTTAAAAGTTCTCTCTTTTTACAGAAGTGGACCTGAAATGGTCATGTTTTGTTGGTGCTTTTCAGTTACAGATCTGTGTGTACTACACATGTGCTAGTTACGATATAAATTGTGTTTTTTACTGTTGATCCAAATCACAAGAGTCTGAAAGCCTCTGATCTAACAGTAACAGAATGTTACTCAAGTTTGCTTGCAGGCAGTTTGGTTTGGGGGTCTGAAAATCAGGCTTCTCATTTATCAAAATCCCTCCCTCAGGCTTGGGTATGCCTGTCGAGGGACTTGGATACTGGATGATGACTGCCTGCAACTCAAGAAAGCAGACTCTTGACAGGAGAACTGGTGCTTCATTCAAACAAACATGCGGAGTGCCTACTCTGGGCCAAGGCCCTGCCTTCAAGGAGCTCCCCCATTTCACTGGGAAGGTAGATATACCCATTTTTGTGAGTGAGATGAGTTATGTAAGAATTAAGAGTAGAGGGTGCCTGGGTGGCTCAGTTGGTTAAGTGACTGCCTTCGGCTCAGCTCATGATCCCGGAGTACCGGGATCGAGTCCCACATCGGGCTCCCTGCTCAGCAGGGAGTCTGCTTCTCCCTCTGACCCTACCCCCTCTTGTGCTCGCTCTCTCTCAAATAAATAAAATTAAAAAAAAAGAAGTAAGAGTAGACACGATTTGGAAATGTGGAGAGTGAGATGGCTAGCATCTGGGTGGGGTCCAAAATGCTTCACCTTTGACATTGGGTATTGAAGGATGAATAGGAGTTTGCCAGGCAAAGAGAAGAGAGGACATATCTGGCAGAGGGGTCCACGTGTGCAAAGGGGGTTCGTAAATAGGCAGGGGGTGTTGTGGGACTTAAGGGTCACTCAGGGTGGCTAGAAAGCAGGAGGCACTGGGGAGACTTAAGGAAGACAAGATGAGAGGCATTTCTCTCAGATCCCCCCTGCCCTCCATACCGCCCACCTCGTTCCCCTGTCAGCCTCGACTGCAAGGCCCCCTTGCCCCCAGAGCCCCCAGTAGCAGCATGGGGAGCCAGCAGGGAGCTTGCTGGAACGATGTTTCCCTGCATGTATGTATTCTTGTCTCTCCATGCTCCTGGCCTGGGCTCGGCAGAGCTGGTGGCAGGCAACTCTTTTGCATTTGTTTTGGCAGCTCTCTCTCCCAGCCTATTTGTTGTTTCTACTCCATTTCTCTCACTGCTTGCCAGTGGGGCTTCCCTCAGGGGCAGGTCCGCCGAAACAGCCCCTAGACCTCGCTGCTGAAGGAAGTGAGGGTCCGGGAGCTCACCCTTTTGCGTGTGTGGGCAGGTAGGGGGCGTAGGGAAGGCTCCTGCATCTGCTGGAGTCCCGGCACGGTGGGCAGGGCAGGGAACTCCGAGTCCCTCCCGTAGGGAGGCCGACTACCACTGTTCCCCTGCCTCCTATTGACTGAAGTGTCTTCCATCAGGGCTGGGGATAGGGGAAGAAGGTGTGTCCACATGAGTGCCCCCCCTTCTTTTTACTCAACAGCGGCAGAAGCCACAGTGAGTTTGAAGTGACCCCCAAATTCAGATCCGCAGAGGCCAGAATTGAAATGCTTTGTTGTGGAGGAGGATGCAGACATCTGCTCATCACCCATAGCATTATTGAGCACGCGTTAGTTGTAGGGATCTGTGTTAAGCGCCTGGCCTTCCCAGAAAGGTATAAACTGGTCCTCAAAAGTCAATAGGGCGGGGCGCCTGGGTGGCTCAGTCGTTATGCGTCTGCCTTCGGCTCAGGTCATGGTCCCAGGGTCCTGGGATCGCGCCCCGCATCGGGCTTCTTGCTCAGTGGGAAGCCTGCTTCTCCCTCTCCCACTCCCCCTGCTTGTGTTCCCTCTCTCGCTGTGTCTCTCTCTGTCAAATAAAATCTTTTTAAAAAAAAGTCAATAGGGAGTATGGCGGGATTTTAAGAAGACAAGTAATTGGCATAGTGCTTGGAACTGTCCCTGGCATTAGTATAGGGCTCTTTAAGCTGTAAAAGCTGCTATGGTTGGGCGCCTGGGTGGCTCAGTTGGTTAAGCGACTGCCTTCAGCTCATGTCATGATCCTGGAGTCCCGGGATGGAGTCCCACATTGGGCTCTCTGCTCAGCAGGGAGTCTGCTTCTCCCTCTGACCCTCTTCCCTCTCATGTGCTCTCTATCTCTCATTCTCTCCCTCTCAAATAAATAAATAAAATCTTTAAAAAAAAAAAAAAAGCTGCTATGGTTAGTATGAGTCATTTTGTGAAAAAATGGTTTCGGGCCTCTTCGTGGGAATAGGGAGAGGGGAAGAAAGGTGATTTGTGTGTGTTTGATTTACAAGGCCAGGCTACTAGTTCTGTTAGCTTTTATGTTTGTGGTTTGCCCAGCAGGGAAGAAGACAGGCCCTCAGGACACACGAACTGGTTTGGATGGGGTGATGACCCACCTAGGGAGGTCCTTGTACTCTGTCTCAGGTGAGTTCCTGGTGTTTGGTCAGGAGCTGGCAAAAGAATGGCATGTTCCGTAAACTCCTGAACCTCTGGAGAAGTTGGACTAAAAGTCTGCGCTCAACGTAGTGCCCCAGGGAGCAGATGTCCAACTGCATGGAGGTTTGGGGTGAAGTGAAAGTGATCCCACCAAGAAAGATGTCTGGACACGACCATTTAAGACTCTGCCTTCCTGGGGCGCCTGGGTGGCTCAGTCAGTTAGGCATCTGCCATCGGCTAGGGTTGTGATCCCGGGGTCCCGGAATTGAGCCCTGCTTTGGGCTCCCTGCTCAGGGGGCAGTCTGCTTCTCCTTCTGCCCCTCACCCCGCTCATGTTCTCTCTCACTCTCTCAAATAAATAAAATCTTTTTTTTTTTAAAGATTTTATTTATTTATTTGAGAGAGAGAATGAGATAGAGCATGAGATGGGGGGAGGGTCAGAGGGAGAAGCAGACTCACCGCTGAGCAGGGAGCCCGATGCGGGACTCGATCCCAGGACTCCGGGATCATGACCCGAGCCGAAGGCAGTCGCCCAATCAACTGAGCCACCCAGGCGCCCTATGGGTGCTTTTTTTTTTTCTTTTCTTTATTTTTTAAGAGATTTTATTTATTTTTTTGAGAGAGAGACACAGTGAGAGAGGGAACACAAGCAGGGGGAGTGGAAGAGGGAGAAGCAGGCTTCCCGCGGAGCAGGGAGCCCGATGCGGGGCTCGATCCCAGGACCCTGGGATCATGACCTGAGCCGAAGGCAGATGATTAACGACTGAACCATCCAGGCACCCCTATGGGTGCTTTTCATTCCTATGTTTTGGTTTAGCCATATTTCCTAATTCTCAATGATAACAGATCGTTTTTGTAATAAACAGTAATTTTTTACAAAGCTTTGCTCTGTTCTCTAGGTGGGGTGATCAGGGCAGTTAGTTATCAGACTGATGAGATAATCTCAAGGAGAAGTGATTTCATTGCCCAATCCAGTAACTAATAAATATCGCTGCGCGGACGGATGCAGCTTGCTGTCCACTCTATAACAAGCCCCTGCTCTATCGAGAAACACCGTATGTCTTGCTACTGCAAGCCGAGGGTGGACCTTCGCTTTCATGGGACCTCCTCGATCCTTTCTAGTTCAGAGTCTGTGAATTTTGTTCGCTGCAAGAAAAATACACTTTCCTGAAAGTATTAAACTCATCTTCTGGTTCATGAAATAAGACAGAAGCAGAAAAGCTCCCTTATATACAGATCAGGGGATGCCTATGGGGTCAAGCAATAGGTTCTGGGTATTTGTTGGTTCTCAGTGAACCATGAACCATTTGGGAAAGTATTCACTAAATTTGGATGCTTACGAGCATGTCTAAGGCCTCTATAAACTTCCCTTGAGGAGATCTTGGCCTGTATTCTTCTAAGTAGAAAGAGCCTATAGGCTTGATACCTGCCTCTTAACCCACCAGCAACTCCCACAGACTCCATTTCATGCAGTTGTGTTCAGGGGCAAGTTTCTCCAAAGTGCAGTCAGCGCATATACCCAGAGATACCTCCATTCACACCCCACTATTCTTGTGATGTCTTCGGGCGAGTTGCTTGGCGGGGCAGCTACAAAGGCAGAGACGGTGCCATGAGCCTGTGCCCAGCTCCCCAGAGGGAACAGGGGAGGGTGCTGGAGGGGGTCTGGAGAATATGCTGGAGATTTGGTCTCTAGGCCTCCAAAGTGAAGACAAGTAGGAGGGATACTAAAGCAGAGTGAGTGCAGTAATAACAACCAGAATTTATTGATCACCCTCCTCCAGGTGTTACATAACCCACGACAGCCGTGGGAAGCAGTTACTATCGTCTGCCATCCGTAGGCTCAGAAGTCAAGTCACACGTCCAAGCCAGCTGCTAGCAAGTGGCAGAGCTCAGGCCACTAATCTGGGCTCCCCTGTTTACAGGACAACCCCCTTTAAGCTGCTGGGCTACAGAGCCAATGCTTGTTGAGAGAAGACACCTGGATGTCCGGTTCTCCTGGCTACTTTATGGCCCAGCAAGCAGCCCTTGCCTCAGTTTCTCCAAATCGGCCTTTGGACAGGACTTTCTTCGGTTCTCCAGCAGGAATCTGTTCTCCAGTATTCTTGCTCCCTTCCCAATTCCCCAAGGGCCAGGAAGCCCTCCCCCACCACACCCTCCACAGTCCCTGGCCACCTCACTTCCTAGCACAGAAGGTCTTGTGGGCCACTGGCTGAACTCTCCAGCCAAGCCGGGAGCCACTGAAGGGAGGCCCAGAGGCCCCCCTTTGTCCCCAACACGACTCCAGGCAGCTGGGGCTTCGTGCTGCCTTGGGGTCTGGGGCAGCTCAGGGGAGCTGTAAATTTGCTTCTCCTTGGACTTTCAGTCTGAACTGGCTGCCAGGAAGACTCCATGGAGCAGAGCCTGCTCCACCCCCGCCATCCTCCTGTCACACCCATCCCTTTTCAGACCCTGCCTCAGTGGCTGTGCTCAGGAAGCAGATGGAGGCTTCACAGGCCCCCAAGATCCCAGAGCTGGGTTGTCCAGGCTGGCTCCCGCAAGCACTCAGAGGATGAATGGCTCACTTCCCCACTCTACATCTCCCATTCTCTGGCTGAGGTGCCTGGAGTGGAGGGACCACCTCATACCAGCCACACATAACCATAAATAGGCAACTGCTGGGTCCCTGGGGGGTACCAAGGTGAACGAGTCCCGCCATACACTGTCCTCTGCTCATTTTGATGAACAGGTCACCCGTGCTGCATGACTTCAGAGAGTACCATTCCTAGCGAGTCTGTGTGAATGGCGCCCCCTGGAGTTGTGCAGTGCTCCATCTTGAAAGCTGTGTGTGGTGGCCCAGTCGGTAGGAGGCCTAAGCCACATCCCTAAATGATGGCAGTGCAGAAGGAGAGAACTTTCTGCAGGGGCGATCAGGGAAGCCTTCACAGAAGAGCTTAAGGCTTGGGGTTGGGCTTTGAGGAACGGGGAGGGGGGGAGATAGTGTGAGAAGGTGATGCAGGTGGAAAGCACAGAGTGAGCAAAAGGCAGGAAGCATCTAACCGAGTTCATGCCATGGAAGGACTGGGAATGAGCAAAGTGGGAGAATAGGCTGCAGAGGTAGGTGGATGGCAGAACACAGAGGGTCTTAGTTCTGGGGCCACTGGGACCCATGGCAGGCTCCTGCTCAGGAGCATGACACAAACGAGTCTATTCAATGGGAAAGCTGATGGGGATTGACTGGAGCGGTCAGGGAGGAGACCCTCTGCAGTGGCCAGCACCATGCCAGAGGGACACAAGGAGGCAGATGGAGGGGGCACTGGCAGGGGGTGGGAGGTGTTAGAGGGGGAGCCCCAAGGAGCTTCCTGTTTTTTCTCTGTTTTTCAGGGTCCTGATATCAAGGGCAGGTAGCTGGACCCTGCTGGGCAGTAGCCAAGAGCACCTGGGTTGAAGATGGCCCCCAAACTGCCCTCTGGTAGGATTACTACAACTTCGGGGGTGGGTGTGGGGTGGACCAAGATCCTCTCCTGCCCCTTCTCTCCCAAGCTGCGACCAGAGGGCTCTCTCCAAAAGTCCCAGAGGATGAGCCAGCACCAGCCCTGTCCATCAGGCCCTAGCACCTAGGCTCTGGTGCTTATGGCCCATCTCCCCTCCTTCCTTGAAGGCAGGGGTGAAGGCAGGCCTCCAAGTTGCTATGAGGGAAGCAGCAGGTCCCACAGCCCACAAGGCTCCTCCTCTCCTCCGTCTCCTTAGGCGGTGTCTACCCACCCCCCCCATCTGTCCCCGGCCCCTCTCCATGGTCAGGTCAGGGCAGTGACGCAGGAGTCAGGGGACCAGAGAGCAGATGCTGGGGGGGAGGGGTCGGGACAGAACGCATGTGTGGACGTGTGTGGACGTGAGTGTGTGTGCGCTTGTCCCACAGCTGGGATCTGGGAGGGAAGCAGAATCGGGCTCCAAAGGCCAAGCAGGGCTGGGAAGCTGCCTGGGTGCTGAGAGGGAAACTGGGACCCGGGGCATAGCGGGGTGTGCAGCCTGAGAGTCAGTATGCCAGGGTTGAGGAGGGACCCCAGAGCAGGGCCTGGAGGTGGGCAGAGGGCAGAGGAGCAGGATCGGAACAAGTCAGGCCCTCATGACTTTCCACGGAAAGCACACCAGCCTCTGCATCTTGCTTCTCCCTCTCCTGACCCCCTCTTTAATCATGCCCTCCCCACCTTAGGGTTCCCTCCCTCACCTCCATCCGCCTTTATTCAAGTCACCCTCAGCACGGCTTCCCCGACCGCCCCATCAAAATGTGCAGCCTCCTCCAACACTCCTGGTCCCTTCCACGCCTGTTCTCCTTGGTCCTTTATTGCCGTGGTCTTTTATTTTTCATTTTTGGGGTCATCCCACCTCGCCACTAGAATGTCAGCTCCACCAGGGCAGGCCCTCTTGTCTGTTTCATTCCATCCCCAGATCCCGGCCACCATGAGGTACTCATATATATTTCTTAGATGAATATTCATTTCTCAAATGAATGAATGAATGAGTGCTCCCCACTCTTTACACTCTTTCCTTTTTTAGAAAATTTTTTAAAAGATTTCTTTATTTATTTTAGAGTGCGAGAGCATGCCTGCACACATTGGGGGGAGGGTCAGAGGGAGAAAATCTTTCCAGCAGACTCCCCACTGAGCTTGGGGCCCATGAGAGGCTCTAACCAAGAGCCTCTAACCATCCAGCTCGTGCTGAAACCAAGAGCTGGATGCTCAACTGACTGAGCCACCCGGGCGCCCCAAATCCAAATTCTTTTTTTTTTTTTAAAGATTTTATTTATTTATTTGAGACAGAGAGAATGAGAGAGAGAGAGCACATGAGAGGGGGGAGGGCCAGAGGGAGAAGCAGACTCCCCGCTGAGCGGGGAGCCCGATGCAGGACTCGATCCCGGGACTCCAGGATCATGACCTGAGCCGAAGGCAGTCGCTTAACCAACTGAGCCACCCAGGCGCCCCCAAATCCAAATTCTTGAGTGTCATTCAAGGCCCTTCACAACCTGACCACTTCCTAACCAGCCCTCTGGCCTAGTCTCCTCCACCTCTGCAGTCCACACCCTCCATCCTGACACACCTGACCCCCCCCCCTTTCCCCTTGCTGAACCAGCTTCATCCCCATCTCACATCTCTTCCTATTAAAATCCTACGGGCCCTTCAAGGCTGAGCTCATGTCACCTTCTGCATCAAATCTTCCTTGATTCCCCCAGCTAACAGTGAGCTCTGCCTCTTCCAAACTCTTCCGGCTAGGCTCTGAACACTCCGGTCCTCACACACCACCACACTGTGTACCCATCTTATCTCTGCTGAAAGCTATAAACTCCAGGAGGCAGGAACTCTCAAACACATCTTTTCGTCTTGCAAAGTGTGTAGTCAGCTGACCTGCACAAAGAAGGCACCGATCATTGTGTGAATAAAATATCTTTAATCTCATGGAACTGGGAAGAAAGTGAGGGAAGATACATAACCACCTGTATTTGTAGGACTTTGGAACTGGGACTTCATCACCCCCCCCCTTTGACAGGTCAGGGCACTGAGGCTCAGGACTGAGACCACTGTCCAAGGTTGGAGAGGCCAGCCAGCCTCAGACTTCTGCTCTAGGGAGCTTGCCCCCCTGCTTCCTAGAAGCCCTGAAGGCTTCGCTGCAAATCTGAACCACCTCAGTCTGGGGGATAGCTCTCTTTTAGAGTTCTAACGAATTTTGCCATGCAGGCTAACCTATATCACAGGTCAAAACCAGAAACAACAAAAAACAAGAAGGATGTCAAAGTGCATGCAGGTCCTGCACACATATCCTGTGCCCTAAACGTTCAATTTCTGGGTTTTTGGAGTCCTAGAAAAGTAAAGAGTGGGGGCTAGAAGACCCCCAAGTTTCTTACTCCGTGTACCCCCATCAGATTCCTCAACACGAACAAAACCGGCTTCTAGAACAAGTACTGGGATTGTGAGAAGGCAGGCAACTTGCCTCCGCCAGCCCCTTCCCGGCGTCCAAAGCCAGCTGCCTCGCAGGAACCGGTGCTCTCAGCTCTGAACCCCCGCCCAAGACTGGGACGCGCCCCCCCTCCCCCACCGGGTGGAGGGAGCGTCGGGTCCCCAGCCTTTCCCACAATGGTACTCCTCCCGCGGGTGCGCACCCAGCCGCGCCTCCCAGAACCCGGGGTCGGCGGGGCAGACCCGTGCCCTTAGCTCCGCGCCTGCGGCCGCTCTGCTCCCGCCCCAGCGAGCCCCCGACCCAGGCGTCCTGCCCCGGTCTGACCCCTCTGGCCCTTACCTCTGGCGACCCCTCACGCACGCAGCCTGCCCCCCACCCCCACACACGCACGCACACATGCTGATAACAGCCCCGACCCCCCGGCGGAGCCGCAGTCCCCGGGCCAACCCCGGCCGCTCGCCGCGCGCCAGTCCTCGCGGACCCTGGCCAAGAGCCTTGCGCTCGCTCTGTGCGACCCCGGCTCGGCAGCCCCCTCCTTCGGGCCGTGGGGACGGCCCTGCTCCACCGCGCTTCCCGGGATGAGGGCTCCCGGCAAGGGCGCCGGCCGAGCCCCTGGTCGCTGAGGGGCCGGGGGAGGCGCGGAGATGGGGGCGTGCGGTGAGTACTCGCCGGCTGGAGGAGCCCCCGCCCGCCCGGGCCCCTGTTTGAGCAGGAATTTACCGCTGGGGCGAGTGGCCCCGAGGTGGCTGGGTTCAAGGACCGACAACTTGCCAAGGACCCCGGAAGGGCAAGGGGGGTGGGGCAGCCTCCACGTGCCGGCAGGGCTTAGGGAGCCCCTGGGAAAGGTGAAATCTGACCTGGACACTGGGACGCAGTTTCGGGGTTCGGGGAAAAGAGGGGGCTGCTACGTGCGTGGGGAGAAAGCTGACACCTGGGTCTTGGAGCAATCACCGGGATCTGCGAGAGGGGAAGCCTCTGTCACACCGGGATTGAAGTTTGGCCGGGAGAAGTGGATGCCGGTAGTTTGGGGGGGTGGGGTGGGGGGTGCGCGTCGCAGCGGGATTGAATGAAGGCAGAGGAGGCAGAACCTGAGCGCTGGGAAGGTGGGGGGTCGGGAGCGCCTCGCTGGGGGCAGAGGAGCGGGATGTGTGAACGTGCCCCTCCAAACCCACACACTCAGCCCGGCACTCTTTTCTAGAATGTCCTGCTCTGCTGCTTCTGCTGTCCTTGCTGCTGCTTCCTCTGGGCCTCCCAGTCCTGGGCGCCCCCCCTCGCCTCATTTGTGACAGCCGAGTCCTGGAGCGGTACATCCTGGAGGCCAGGGAGGCCGAAAATGTCACGGTGAGGCCCCCTCCTCAGGACATTCCACAGAACTCACTCTCAAGAGCCCAGGGGTTTCCTCCAAGATCCAGGAACTGGAGTCCCTTCCTGGCACTTGGTTCAGGGATGGGGGTGGGAAGCCAGAGCCCCCAGGAAAAGTGATACAAGTGGTAGCCCCCAGTGCATACCTGGAAGCTAGGTAAGGGGCAAAGGTGGAGGGAGCTTTTGGGGAGGCTGACGCCCCTTACCCCGGGTCGTGCATTTCAGATGGGCTGTGCTCAAGGCTGCAGCTTCAGTGAGAATATCACCGTCCCAGACACCAAGGTTAACTTCTATACCTGGAAGAGGATGGACGTGAGTTTGTTTTTTCCCTCTTCTTGGGGAGTCTCATCTTGGGAACCTGAGGGGGTGCTCGGGAGAACGACAGAAGAAGATGAGGGCTGGACGCAATATGTTCGTTCATTTGTTCTCTGTTCTTTGTTCATTCATTCATTCAACCAAACTGATTCTAAGTCTTCACTTTGCTCAGCTTGGTGCTTGGGGCTGCTGAGAGGGAGGGGCTTGTTTGGGCCACTAACCCCGAGTCTCCATTTCCTTTAGGTGGGGCAGCAGGCCGTGGAAGTCTGGCAGGGCCTGGCCCTGCTCTCAGAAGCCATCCTGCGGGGCCAGGCCCTGTTGGCCAACTCCTCGCAGCCATCTGAGACCCTCCGGCTGCATGTGGACAAAGCCATCAGCAGCCTGCGCAGCCTCACCTCCCTGCTTCGGGCGCTGGGAGCCCAGGTGGGTGGGAGCCTCCCTCGCCCGCACTTTCGTTGGAAGGGCCCTGCTCATCCCCCCTCTGGTTCTGTCCTGAATCCCTTCTCCCTCCAGGGTTCCCCCGGTGCTGCACGGCACTGCGATAACTTTTTTGTTCTCTCCTTGGCAGAAGGAGGCCATCTCCCTTCCAGAGGAAGCCTCTGTTGCTCCACTCCAAACATTCACTGTTGATACTTTGTGCAAATTTTTCCGAATCTACTCCAATTTCCTGCGGGGAAAGCTGACGCTGTACACGGGGGAGGCCTGCAGGAGAGGGGACAGGTGACCAGGTGCTCCCACCCCGGGCACGTCCACCACCTCCCTCACCACCACTGCCTGTACCACGCCTCTGCACCACCACTCCTGACCCATCGAGGGGTGAGCAGCTCAGCACCAGCCTGTCCCATGGACACTCCACGGCCACGGGTGACATCTCAAGGGCCAGAGGAACTGTCCAGAGCTCAACTCAGATCTAAGGATGTCACAGGGCCAGCCTGAGGCCCCAAAGCAGGAGGAAGTCGGAGGAAATCAGCTTAAGCTTGGGGACAGAGCCCTGCTGGGGAGACACCCAAACTCACCTTGGTGCCCTGCCGAGCGGTGATGCCAGGACAAACTGGAGGGCAAATATCTCTTTTTGCACCTATGAGGCAGGGACAGGAGGGACTGGAGAATTTAGGTGGCAAGCCATGAATTCTCCAGGTCTCATGGATACTCCCACGACAGCGAGAGCCACTGGACGAAGGGTGGTGGGAGCCATGAAGATGGGATGGGGGCTGGCCCCTGGCTCTCACTGGGTCCAAGTTTTGTGTATTTTTCAATCTCACTGGCAAGAACTGAAATCACAACATGGCTCTTGACTTTTCTGTTTCCCCGGGAGCTCCCTACTTCCCTGGCCCTGCTCCCATGCTGGCAGCAGGCCACAGTCCTGGAAAACTAGAGGTGGAGGGGGTCGGGCCCTACGTGCTGCCTCGCATAGCCTGTCTGACCTCTTGACCCCACTGGGCCTGAGGCCACAAACTCTGCCCACGCTGGTCAATAAGGTGGTTCCATTCAAGGCTATTCCTCAGTAGGCAGCTGGTAACCCTCTTTCGTGAGCTACAGCTGCCATCAAGGAACCAGGAGCCCCCAGAGGGGCTGGTGGTAGCTTCCAGTCCTGGCCACTGGGCCCTTACTTATTTCTCGCTTCTTCTCTGTGGTGCCTCTGGCTAAAGCCACATTCCCGCATCAGCCTTTGCCACCTCTCAATCCAGCTGACCCCTTTCCTTGCCTGGGGATGGTCACCATTAATGCCCTCCCCTGGAACTTGCAGAAGGAGCCATGGTCCCCGACAGCGGTCTCGCTGAACACTCACTCTGTGCCCAGGGCTATTCTAGGTGGTTTGCTTACATGACCTCATTTTATTCCTTGCACAACTCTATGAGAAAGTTTCCACTGTCATTCCCATGGAACAGATGAAGAAATAAACTAACTGCCCAAAGCCAAGACAGCAGGAACCCCCAGTGCCCCCAGCTCTTACCCCTTTCCTCTTCTGCTTATCCTTCCTCATAATCCCTACCTGTGCCCTGTTCCCCTGGGTTGCGGGACACGGAACAAACTAACTGAGCTTCCGCTCTCCACCCCTACTTCTAATTTCACCCATTACTCCAACAATCCACCTCAAATTCCTTCTCAGAAATTATGCTTCAGCTGCAGCGTACCACCCGACAGCAGTCCTGACCATTATCATGTATGTGGGGATCAGTCTTTCTGCTCCTATCACAAAACTTAGAGAAGTCAGCCTGCACCCCTGAAAATATGCAAAAGAGAGAATTTTTGCCATCTGCAGCAGGGCAAATTATGGGTAGGCTTGGAGGGTATTTGCCATGTATATGTGGGTGCTGGGAGCCGTGGTGAAGCGCGGTGGGAGGAATCAACGGAGAGGTGGACCCAAAGGAGAATTTTCACCCTGGCCAACCCAGCTCCTGGGGTACAGTGCCCTCTTCAGGCCCTACTGGGAAATGTTAGCAAAATCTACAAGGGAAAGAACTCTTAGGGCTCTGATCTTTGCACATTCCAATAAAAATTTGTATTGCAGTTTCCACAGATGGCATCTGGTTCTTGTCCCACTGCTGTGAATCAGGAAGGGAGGAATCTGTCTTTCTCGATAGCAACGTCAAAACTAAGACAGTTATCCTGAAACCCAAGGCATGCTGCTAATACCCGCAGCTAGGACCCAAACACAAGGTTTAGGACTCATAACCCCCAAGCACACCTTAGCCTGATGGGCCACCTAGACATCCCCAGGCCCACCTAGTACCTGGATCTTTTTTCCCCACAAGTCAGGGCCACCTACCTTATTCCTTGACTTCTCTTCAGACTACTTACTGCTTTCTATTACAAAAAAAAAAAAAAAAAAAAAAGTCAATGGAACCTGAACTATATGCCCCGGGCCAGTATGTTAAAACATTAAAAACATAACTCATTTATTCCACATTTACGGAGTGCCAACTATGTGGCAGCTTTTGCACCAAGTGTTAGGAAAACATGAAATGACAATCTATGCCTTTCGCAGCCCAGGGTCCTCCTGGGATTCCCCTGGAGGCGAAAAGACACGAGCTCATTAAGGGTATAGCCAGCTTGGTATGTGACTGCATGTGGACAGGCCCGGGACGGGAAGGACCTGGTGAGGGCCCATGTCCTTGCAAAGAGACACACATACACAAGGAGGGTGTTGTCAGATTTCAGAGGGTCTTCAAGTGTGGGCTGGGAATGTGAACTTTCTTCTGTGCTATTATTATGATGATCCACAACATATTAAACTCTGGTGCCTACATGATCTGCTGCGATTCTCACCACAAGTCCACGAAACGGGGGGCCCTTAGGTATCATCAGGTATCATCCCCATTTGCCAGATGGGGAAAAATACAACCAAGTTCCACCAGGTAAATGGCGGAGCCAGCTCTTCTAACTTCCTGGCAGGACGGGAGCCAGGGCGGCCCAGTTCTGAGTCAGTGGGTTACATAATTGTTTAATGGAGATGTCTTCTGTTGATAGAGCGCTTTGCGATTGTAATGTAAGATGTATGTAAGATCATGGGTGCTTTCCTGGGCATTTTCTTATTTATTCTCCTAACTGCACGAGGAGGGCAGAGATGGTAGAGGATCTCCATTTTGCAGAGGAAGAAACCGAGACCCGGAGAGATTATGGGCCTGGCCCAGGCCGTAAGACACTGAGGAAGATAAAGACCAGGAGCCAGGCTCTCTGACTTCTGTTCCCTCTTCTAGCAGAAGCAGGGATCAGAGGGAAAGGAGAGTAGAGGGAGTGGCTGGAGGGGAGAAAGAAGGAGGCCCATCCATCTCAGCATCAACGCCTCCCCAAGGGGCGTCTGGCTGGCTCAGCTGGTTGAGTGTCTGACTCTTGGTTTTGGCTCAGGTTATGATCTCATGGGTCATGGGATCAAGACCCTTGTTCAGCAGGAAGTCTGCTTGAGATTCTCTCCCTCTGCCCCTCCTCAAATATATAAATAAATCTTTAAAAAAAAAAAAACCTCCTCCCCACATCATCTACTGCCTTGGGCTCCCACTTTTTTCCCTCCTACCCTCCCCACCACCCAAGTCTCCCAGTGCTCGGGACCAACTCAGCCACCTCCTGCAGCCCTAGCTCCCACCCTGACTGCCGCCTATTGGCCCAAACTCCCTCCCTGGGCCTGAGCATCAGGCTGACCAAATGCACCTGTCTGACCCCAGCCCACAGATCACCTAAGATTTTCCTGGAACTACTCAGAATCCTCTAAGCATCACAGCAGACAAGTGTTGCTGGATTTGAATTAGCTAAATGGGGCCTCTTAGACATTGGAATCTAAGCTGAATGTTAACTACGTTTTTCCCAGCTGGTTGAGGCTAATTCCTCTAAAATTCCATCATAAAATGATGTTAGGAAAGATGATTGGCAATAGAAAAGCAGACAGTAGTATGGTTTCCCAACTTATGTGAGTCATGCCCAAATGTCCATGAACTCTCACTTCTTGATTTTTAAAAATTGATTAGTAAAATGAATTACATGACCTGCACGCAATTTCCGCTTTAAAAAAAAAAAAAAAAAAACTTAGCTATGCTAGTCTCTCCATTTTGCAGAAGAGCAAACTAAGGCCTGGAGAGGGTGAGTGAAGGGTCCAAGGAAACATAGCGAAGCCAAGACTGACGTAAATTCTCTGGAGCACTTCCGGGGGTTTTTATTCCACATGCCGGGGTCCCTCACACTATGCTTGCAGCTGCTAGGCTTGACAAGTGACAAACTCTCGGGGGCCTTGCGCATTCCCGACCCCTCAAAATGCAGGGCCCAGTGGTGCCTTTCCACGCCGCCATCCTGTTCTGTCCTGCCTTGCACACCAACCCCCGCCCCAGACAGGTTGGAAGCTGGAACTGTCCATGGCGCCAAAGGGAGGTCAGCGGAAGCAGCCCTCAGAGGACTTATTGCCCAACCAGGAGGGGCTGTGGATCAATTGGCTTTGGTGGCTCTTCCCTGGGTTAACCATTTCCTGGCTCTTTCCCTCTTTTTTTTTTTTTTTTAAAGATTTTATTTATTTATTTGACAGAGAGAGACATAGCGAGAGAGGGAACACAAGCAGGGGGAGTGGGAGAGGGAGAAGCAGGCTTCCCCGCGGAGCAGGGAGCCCGATGTGAGGCTCGATCCCAGGACCCTGGGATCATGACCTGAGCTGAAGGCAGACGCTTAACGACTGAGCCACCCAGGCGCCCTCTTTCCCTCTTTTGATTGCTCTCCTAACCTGGTATGGAGGAAAGGTCGATCAGGGTCGCGGCTGGGCATCCTTTACATGTCCCGCTCTGATGTCAAGAGGCAGAGGATCTCTCTCTCTCTCCCCAGGTCTGACCCCTCCGTGGTCCTATTGGTGCTCATTTGAGCAGGAGTCCCCAGGACTGTGAGGGGGTTTGGGACTTTCGTCTTCAACGCCTGGTGCACGACCCTGCTGGCCCCTCCCTGACAGCTCGTGAGAATGGCTGCCCCAGGCATCACCGTCACTTGCCAGGGGCAAAGGCCCGGTGCCCTGGGCATCGATTTGATGGCAAAGAGTAGGGGTCTGCTGAGGTGAAGGGAGGGAAACCGAAGGTTTCTAGGAACACCTGGGTGTGCTGGGATATGGAAATCTGGATTCGTTTCTCCGGAGCTCAGTTTCTACACATGGAAAATGGGGACAACAATTTCGCAGTGAGGAGGACATGAGGTCCAGTGAGGTTAGCCTGCAAGAATGGCTGTTTCTGGCTCCCGGAAAATTCTCGATCCACTCATGTCCACACTCCTGCTGTCTCAATGTTAGCGTCCAACTACACCACCATCTCTCACCCTTGACAGCCTCCTCTCCTGTGTCCCCAGCTCCAGCCAGGTCCCCTTGGGTCCACAGCTGCTCAGGCTGCCCGAGCTGCCAGTCAGATCAAGTCACCCTGGTTGTTTAAAAACTTTTGGTGGCTCCTCAAAGGTTCTCCAAGACAGAGCCCCTGCCTCCTCCCAGTGTTACACACACACACACACACACACACACACACACACACACACAGGCCATTCCTTTCTTTTTTTAAGATTTTATTTATTTAGAGAGAGCACGTGTGTGTGTGTGTGTGCATGCGTGCGTGTGTGCATGGTCTGGCTGGGCAGGGTGCAATAGGGATAGAGGGAAAGGGAGAGAGTCTCAAGCAGACTCCACATTGAGCTCTGAGCCCCACGCAGGGCTTGATCTCAAGACCCAGAGATCAGGACCTGAGCTGAAATCAAGAATCAGATGCTTAGCCAACTGAGCCACCCGGGCGCCCTCCCCTCCCCCCACCAGACCATTCTTCAAAAATGTCATTCTCCCTCTAAGCCTGGAACGTTCTCTCTTCCTGGATGTGCCTTTCCAACTTCTTTGCCTCATTACCATGTCTTTGTGGTTTAGAAAGCCTCTCAAGTGTCACCTCTTTCCAAAAGCCTTCCCTTCCTGTCTCCAGTGACCTGGGGCAGGGACCCCCTCCACACTCTCTCTACCAGAGTGTTTATCTGCCTGGCCACCGGCCAGCCCCTCAGGGGGTGTGTGTGGAGAGAAGCCCTGATGATTGTAAAGTGTGCTGCGGCAAGGTGGGAAGGCCTGGGCCAGAGGAGGGCGGCCCGCATGAGCGCGAGCTGGAAGGTAGGGGTGAGTTGGCTGTGGGCAGGACTGGCATGGAGCCCCCCCGAGAGGGGTACTGCTGTGGCCTGCTTGCCACCAGAGCCTTCTCCACTCGCCTCCTATTTCACAGACAGAACAGAGACCGCTATGGGCTCCTGGCTGGCTTAGTCAGTGGCACCTGCGACCCTTGATCTTAGGGTTATGAGTTTGAGTCCCACCTTGGGTGTAGAGATTACTAAAAATAAAATCTTCAGGGGCGCCTGGGTGGCTCAGTTCGCTGAGTGTCTGCCTTTGGCTCAGGTCATGATCCCAAGGTCCTGAATTCGAGCCCCGCATCAGGCTCCCTGCTCAGCGGGGAGCCTGCTTCTTAGTCTCCCTCTGCTGCTCCCCCCGCTTATTCCTTCTCTCTCTCTGTCAAATAAATAAATCAAATCTTTCAAAAAACAGAGGCTGCTAAACATGCCTCAGCGAGGTCCCCTCCCCACTCCCTCCCTTCCCGGAGCTGGCTTGTCCCTCCTGTTGTCTGTGTTCTGGACTCTTTGGGCTCTTTCATTTGATAACATGCAGCTCCTCTTTCCACCATCAGAACATACGGATCTACCATCTACCATCCTATCTTTCTTAAGTCAGGAATGAACTTTAACAAACAGTGTTAGAACGTCAAGTGATTTTTTTTTTTTAAGATTTTATTTATTTATTTGAGAGAGAGAGAATGAGAGATAGCACGAGAGGGAAGAGGGTCAGAGGGAGAAGCAGACTCCCTGCTGAGCAGGGAGCCCGATGCGGGACTCGATCCCGGGACTCCAGGATCATGACCTGAGCCGAAGGCAGTCGCTTAACCAACTGAGCCACCCAGGCGCCCATCAAGTGATATTTTTGAAAAAAAAATTTTAACTGTGGAAATAGACTCATAACATAAAATTTATCTTCTTAACCATTTTTAAATCTTAAAATCTTCTAATCAAAGTAATCTCTATCCCCAACATGGGGTCGAACTCACGACCCCAAGATCAAGAGTCTTGTGCTCTTCCCGCTGAGCCGGCCAGGCGCCCCTCGTCTTAACCATTTTTAAGCGTTCCGTTCAGCGTCATTAAGTACATTCACATTGTGCAACCATCACCACAGGCCATCCACAGAACCTTTCATCTCCCCAAACTGAAATTCTGTCCCAGTTTGGGACAGAATAGGGAGCACTAGCTCCCTATTCCCGGCAAACGCCGTTCTACTTCTCGTCTGTATGAGTTTCACTGCTGTAGGTACCTTGGATAGGTGGAATCCTATGCTATTTGTCCTTCTGTGTCAGGCTCGTTTCACTCAGCATTGTGTCCTCCAGGTTGTAGCCTGTGTGAGAATTTCCTTCACTTCAAAGATGGAATGATATCCCATTGTATGAATACACCCTATTTTGTTTGTTTTGTGGACTCTTGGGTTGCTCTCACCTTCTGGCAATGGTGAGTACTGCCACTATCAACATGGGTGTCCAGGCATCTCTTCAAGTCTTTGCTTTCAATTCTTTTGGGTCTACGCACCCAGAAGTGCAATTGCTGGACCCTATGATAAGCCTATTTTTAATTTTTGGAGGAGCGCCATTCTTTTTAATACCTCCATAATATTCCTTCATATGAAAAATATTCCTTGACTATGATCCAACTGCCTATCTGCTGGTAAACATTTAAGTAATCTCGATTTTTTTTCCCCATTATAAGCCATGCCACAGTGATCATCTTTGAGGTGTGCCCAGATTTGGGCAAATACACACGGATTTCTGTGGGGAGATTCCTAGAAAGGTAAGGCGGGGTCAAAACCATGCACGCTAGAAAGTTTGAGAGTCACTGTCGCATTACCTTCCAAGAAGTTTTCCCCACCCTACAGTCTTAGCGTCAGAGTGTTTGAGTGTGTCTACCTACATCCTGGCCAACGCGCAACGCTTTCAGTCTCTTAAATGGTGGTCACCATCACAGTTGTAGTTTTGATTAGCATTTTCCTTAGTACAAGTGAAGCAGAACATCTTTTCTGATGTTTACTGGCTGGTGGCTCGTCTGGCACTCTGGGACTTGTGTTTTTCTGTTCTTTGCCATTAAGCGTTTCCAGTCCCACCTTATTTGACCAGCCAATCGTTTATGCCGCTGTTGCCCCCTATAGAATTTTAGGTTTGAAGTGATTTTCTGTTGGAATTCTGAAGACAATGTTCCACGGCCTCTTAGAACCCATGGTTGCTATTGAAAAGCCTGACGCTGCTTCCTGATCCTTTAGTATGTGACTTGCTTTTTTCTATCTGAAAGTGGTTAGGGTCTTCTCTTGCCCCCTGCTACTCTCAAATCTTATGACATGCCTTCCGTGGGTGTCCTTGCATTCATCATGCGAGACCCCTTCTAATCAAGAGACTTGTATCTCGGTCCCGAGAAATCTTCTTGTGTGGTTTCTCTTAAGCCTTTTCTTCTCCTTGGTTCTATTTTGAACTCTTTTGGTTGGATGTTAGACTTCCCGGACGGATTCTCCGAGTGTCTTTCTTGCTTTCCTTCTCTCCTGCTCTCATTTCATTTCTCTCCGTTGGATTTTTACATTTCCACCCTTGTAGTTTCCATTTCCCAGAGCGCTCCCGTGTTCTCTGTCTGGTTTTCACGGCATCCTCCGAAGGCTGTCAAGTGAGGAGGGTCAGGGGTGGATAAAGTGGTCTGGGCTTACTGTGCCTTCCCCTCTCCCCTGAGAGCCGCCTCTGAGGTCCCGCATGGCTCCTCCAGTCTGGACTCTGGTGCTGCTGGTGGGGGCTGCCTGGGCCCGGGGCCACATTCCTGCCCCTGTCCGGTAAGCTGGGCTCAGGGGGGGATTAGGGGTGGCTCCGAGGGAGAGCGAGAGGCAAAGCTAGAGGGGGCAAGCAGGGTAACCACAAAGGGCATAGCCCTGGGAAGAGAATGATAAACAGGAATGGTGGGGGGAGCCCTGCAGCCCAAGAGCCTGGAACTGAGGGGTGTGAGCAGCTCAGGGGGAACGGGACAGAGCCCAGACGTGAGAGAGAGGGAGGAGGCACGGAGCTGGGGAGACAGAGAGGAGAGAGAGCTGGGGCTCTCAGAAAATGGGCCGAACCCAGAGCAAATTCAGCAGATAGGACACTTCAAGTAGAGGCAGCGAGACATGATGGATGGCTTGGTATCCTGGAGCTTGTCTGGGGGGATTTGAGCGAGTAGAACTTGAACAAGTAAAGGGGATCGCTGTTGGGTTTGGCCCGTGCCACCTGGGGAGGGGAAGCTGGCTTCTCTGCGGGGTTCAGAGGGCTCGGAGGGGCCATCCCTCTGTAACTCATCTATATGTTCAGTGGCCTGTAGCCGAGGACCACCTGCCACCCACCGGGCAGCCTGGGACCCACAGAATCCCCACTCTCAGCCCGAAGGAAGGAGCTTCCCCAGGTGCCAACATTTAAGTACCGCTGTAGGATCTCCAAACACAGGAACTGGTTCCTCCTTGAGCGAGCCTCTACCACTCATGGTACCTCGGGCACAGAGGAGCCGAGGGAAACCGCGGGGATGGGAGGAGCTCGGAGGAGCTCGGAGGGGAGACGCTTTTTCTTTTCTTTAGGAGATAGATGAGAATTTAACATGGGGAGGCTGGGTGGCCTTTTGAAAACCTTAAAGAAGACAAGTAAATATACGCTCACTGCCTACACTTTGGTACAATTCGGCGAACACGAAAGGAAGTCTTCCATGAGTGACCGCTCAGAAAGCTCACGCTCATCAAGGTTTATGATTCTTGATAATGAGAAGTATTCCCCCTTTTTTTTCTTTTTCTTTTTTCTTTCTCCAAACCAACCCCAAGGAAAGAGAAGCCTGCGGACTGGAAGGCAGTTGCTCGCAGCTCTAGGGATAACTGTGAGTTGGAAACCAGCACCGTTCAGATCTCTCTCTGCCCTCAGGGGTGGCCACCTCCAGTGCCCTTGGGGCTGAGTGGTGGCACAGACATGTAGTGAATGTTAGAGGGTGGAGGAAACATGGAGGAGTACAGGCCAAGCCCTACCTGGGACAGTCACGTTCAAATTGACAACAAAATGTATGCACCCAGACAAAGCCTGTCCCTCCCCCGGGGGAATCCAGCCCCTGGAACCTCAGTTTGTGACCCCTGTCCCAGAAGTCATTCTGCCCTGACCCCCACCCTGAATTTCTCCTAAGAGATTCTTATTTCTCAGATTCTCTTTTAAGAAGCTCTGCTCTGGACCCTAAATCTCCTAGTGGCTGCCTTCTCTGCACTTAGCAACTGGGCCAACCCCCAGACCCCAGTTTGGCCCCTCCCCCATCCTGGCCTCAGGGCAGTCTTTTCTTCCCAGCTATTCTCACCCAGTGTGACTTTGAGGATGACTCCAAACCCCTCTGTGATTGGACCCAAGTGTCCACAGATGACGGGGACTGGATTCGAACCAGTGGGCCTTCCCCCACCGGCAGCACTGGTCCCCCCGGGGGGTACCCTAATGGAGGTGAGGAAGCCTAAGGTTTAGGGAGACAGCTGGGAGCTGGGGTCGGGCAGACCTGGGCATAGGGAGAAGGGAGGCAGCTGGAAGGGGGTGCCTGGACTCTGGATGGGGGTGGGAGAGGCAGCCGTCAGGGGTGGCAGGGCCTCCTCACCATCCTGGGCTCTGCCTCCCCCAGAGGGATACTACCTGCACATGAACTCAAGCACCTTCCACCGGGGCGGGGTGGCCCGCCTACGCAGCCCCCCCATATGGGAGCAAGGCCCCCTCTGCGTGCACTTCGCCTACCACATGTTCGGGCTGTCGTGGGGCGCCCAGCTCAGACTGCTACTGTTCAGGGACACCAAGAAAAAGCACCCCAGCCTGCTCTGGAAGCATATTAACACCCAGAGCCCCTCCTGGATGCCCATCGCTGTCACGGTGCCTATGGGGCTTGTCCTGCCCAGCCGGGTGAGGCTGAGGCCAGAGCCTTGGGTCCCAGGGCGGGGGGGAACCTGGGTGTGTGGGGGGGTGGGCAGGAGGGCCCGGAGCAAGGAGGGGGCGCGGGGCTGGGCCATCTGAATTCAGGCAGGAAAACTGGGAGCCTGAGGCAAAGGACCTTACAGGGTGGGTGGTCCCCTGCTTTCTCCCACAGGTGGTGTTTGAGGGAGTGAGGGGCAGCACGGCTTACCTGGACATCTCTCTGGATGCCATCTCTATCCATCGGGGCTCCTGCAATCGCAGTAAGCCCCTGTCCCTCTTCCTCTCTGCCTCCACCAGCTGCCCAGCGTGGCAGAAGTAGCTCAGGGATCACGGTCCTGCTTTCTCCCAGAGTTGGGGCTACATGCTTCCCTCTGCCTCTACGTCTCACATCTCTGAATCCTGAAGCAGCCACACCTAAAGAGAGGTTCTCTTTTAACGGGGTTGTGGTAATACCTTTCCTAGAGTGACCAACCATTCCAGTTTGCCCTGGGCTGTCCCTTTTTTTGCACTGAAAATCCTGCATCTCAGGAAACCCTCAGTTCCTGGCCCAAACTGGATGTCTGGTCACCCTAGCTATTACCCCAGATTCACCCAGGATCAGCCCTCTAAGCTGAGGGCTTTAGAGACTCAAGGGGAGCAAATTCAAGTGAAGGAAAATTCCAGAACCTGAGTGCAAGGAACTAACACTGAGCACAGGATTATGCTAGTTGCTCTCCACAAACGATCTAACTTACGACAGGTGGGTACTGTTGTTCCCAGTTATAGATGAGGAAACTAACAGGCAGCTTAAATAATCTGTCCCAGGAATGAACTGCTAAGGGCTGGGACTGTATCTGCTTCAAGAGCCCACCATGGCTGACAGTAGGACACAGGCTGGAACTCAGAATTCTGACCCCAGGCTGAGGCATGCTTTTTGGAGCTGCATCCTCCTAGAAAAAGCTAAATCCTCCCCGCTCTTCTTCCCTTCAGTCTGCATGATGCAGACGTGCAGCTTCGATGTTCCAAATGATCTCTGTGGCTGGAGCTGGATCCCAACAGCCTCTGGGGCCAAGTGGGTCCAGAAGAAGGGGTCGTCCGGGGTGCCGAACGTGTGGCCTGAGGATTTCTCTAGCCCTGGTAGTGAGTAATGGCCATATTTCCATCCTTTGCCTTTCTGGGCTTCTAGTGACCTCTGCAGGAGTTTACGATGTTTGCCTAACAGTAACTGCCCAGGGATGGCCTGGGGTGAACGCCAGCAACCTCAAAACTCTGTCAGCTCAAGTTACTCAGCAGAAAGCAAACTCCACACACTCAGCTTCCCCCCCTACCGTCCCACAAACGAATCCTAACCCACGCTCCCTAATTTCTTTTCTAAATTCCCACTTCTTTGTTCTCCGTCCCTTTGCATTTTTCCATTCTCAATCATCCCCCTTCGTTTTCCTGTTCTTCCCTCTTCCCCTCCGTCTCCCCCCACCGCCCATAAGCCCCTTCGGCTCACTCCAAGGGCATGCTCTCCTTCCCGTGCCCTTTCCCGCTGCCTGAGGTCTGCCTTCTAGAAAGACCTGGAGAACCCCCTCTCCCCTTCACTCAGACGCCCTGGAAAGCAGGGCGGGCCAGCCCATCTCTGCATCACCCCGCCCCGCAGCATCAGCACCCCAGGCCAAGCCCAGTAAATGTTGGCGGTTGTTTTAATTTTCTCTCTCTTGCTTTTTCCCTCTTGCTTCGTATTTTTCCATCTTCCCTTTCTTTTTCTCCTGCTTCTTTCCACCAACCAGATATCCCAGCGTCGCCCTCCTTGCGTTTTCTTTCACCACTTACCATTTCCTTCCTTCCCCTTCCTCCTCCTTCCCTGCTGTTTCCTCTCTTTTCTCTTCTCTCCCACTCCCCACCCCCCACTCCCTCCCCTCAAACCCTCTTTTCTGCTTCCCCGAAGCCCGCCTTTCCAGGCCGGGTGCGAGCGCGCTCACCCGGCAGGAACGCGAGGGAGTCAGGGACCAGCACGCCTGCGCAGCCTTATTCTCCTCCCCGGCTACCAGTTGCGTCACGGAGCGAGGGAGCGAGGTCCAAGCTGATTGGCTGCCTGAGCTGCTGGGGTCGGTAGGGTGGGGAGATGCTCGGTTCTGGGCCTTGGACCGGCCCTCTCTCGCTAGTCTGTGAATCAACTATATCCAGTGGGTCAAGAAAAGGAAGAGGGCATGACTCTCGGGGACCTAAAGCATCAGAACCCAAAGGGCAGGGTTCTGGCTGCTGCTTTTGAGAGGATGCCGCATTTCATAAGCCACTCTTGCCAAGCGTTTCCGGAAGGCTCGAAGGCCTTGGCCAGATGTAGGCCCACCTCAGCGCTGGCTGATCCTAGGCAGCTGTTGGGGCTTCCCAGGCCCAGGACCCCTGCCGGCACAGGGCCCTATCCCTGTGCGGGACTCCCCCAATTTCAGCCACCCCACCTTACTGGCCTTTTACTTCGTAGGTGGCTTCTACATGCTCCTGGACCCCAAGAATGCAAAACCGGGGCAGAAATCTGTCCTCCTGAGCCCCCTGAGCCATTCCTCTGGCTGTCTGAGTCTGTCCTTCCACTACATCCTCCATGGACAGTCACCTGGTGCAGCCCTCACCGTCTATGCTTCCGTCTTGGGTAAGACTGGCAGTCGCTGGCTTTACACGGACCTGAGGCTCATCTCCCAGGGTTGGGTTGACGGGAAACTATGGGGCATCCCTCAGAGTCTAGGGAAATCTAGGATATATGCAAGGTTACTCCATGGAGTGGAATCAGGGAGCCAGGAGAGCACCGGCTTCTGGAACAACAGATACAAGTGTCAGGAGAGTGAGAGAGAAGGTTGTGTTTGCATTTGGGAGAGAAGGATACACTCCCAAGTAGTCTCTGTGCTACTCATCCTTCTGAGTATAGGTTTTGTTTTTTTTTTTTTAAGATTTTATTTATTTATTTGACAGAGACAGAGAGAGAGAGAGAAAGCACAAGCAGGGGGAGTGGCGGGCAGAGGCAGAGGGAGAAGCAGGCTCCCCGCAGAGCAGGGGGAGCCTGATGCGGGACTCGATCCCAGGATCCTGGGATCATGACCTGAGCCGAAGGCAGTCGCTTAACCAACTGAGCCACCCAGGCGTCCCTGAGTATAGGTTTGAAGTCATTTTTCAGTCCCCTTAATAAGTCAGTTATTTCTCGGATTCCTTCCATTGCAGGCAGCATCCGGAAACACACTCTCTTCTCAGGACAACCTGGACCCAACTGGCAGCCTGTTTCTGTCAATTACACAGGCCAGGGACAAATTCAGGTACAGACGAGCAAAGAGGTCAGCATTCCTTGCACATGGTAGGCACCTCTGATATTGAAACGGATTGAGGATCTGGGCCCTGGGAGCAGGGTGCCTGGGTTCCTGAATAGAATAAAATTAGGTGGGGGGAGGGTTGGGGCTTTTGGGCTGGTTCTTCACTCCCAGCACCCTTTCTCTCTCTCTTCAGTTCACCTTGGTGGGTGTGTTTGGAGAGACCCCAGAGCCAGCTGTGGCAGTGGATGCAATCAGCACTGCTCCCTGTGGGGGTGAGAACAAGGCCCGGGAGGACCAGATCGCTCAGAACTGGGGCTGGGACGGGGTGGGCGGGGGGGGGAGGAATAGAGAGCATGGCCCACGTTGCTCACATCTCCCATTTTGACCCCCTAGAGAGCTTTCCTCAGTGTGACTTTGAAGATGATGCCCATCCCTTCTGTGACTGGGCCCAGGCATTAGGGGATGGCGGACGCTGGACCCGGGGAAATAAAAGTATGCACATCCAGGGTGCAGGCGCTTTTGAAGGTGAGGAGATTCAGGACCCCTCCAGCCAACAAATTACTGAGTTTTGTCCCAGCTGGGGGGTTGGCTGGATTGACGGGAGAAGATATTGTAGGTGGTGAAGATCAGCCCGCAGGTATTTCCTGGGAAGCTGCCATGGGGCCCAAGCTGTGGAGATGACAGAAGTAGAGTGAGTTAAAGATTCTCTTGGCTGTGGGGTCCCTGAACTACCCCCCCCCTCAGAAAATGCAGGCATCTCACTTCGCTGAGCCCAAGGCTTCAAAATCCACACTCTCATTTTCAGTCAAGACATTTACTGATGCAGCCAGCAAAGGAGTCTGGGCTGCTGGCTTGGTTTTCCCTTTCTTTCTGATCTTGCCTTCTTCAGTTAGAAGTCCAAAACAAGCAGGGGAAAAAACAAAACAAAACAAAAAAACCCAACCCTGCTACAATGTAGGGAGTTTGCGTGTTTGCATCAGACCCTCTTTGGAAAGCACGGTGTTGTGAGAGAAAACACTAGGCTGTCCTGTGGAGGTTTGTCATCTTACCCTTTCGATTCCCTTCTTTTCCGCCTGGAAGGTCACTATATTTACGTGGAGGCCGACAAGTTCTCTAAGGCGGGCCAGTCTTTCAGACTGGTGAGCCGGCCCTTCTGTGCCCCGGCTGCGATCTGTGTGGAGTTTCCCTACCACATGTATGGCCTCGGAGAGGGTACTAAGCTCAATCTCCTGCTGGAGAGTCCTGCGGGCAGTGCCCCATCCACTCTCTGGCACCGCGTTGGGTCTCAGAGTCCCAGCTGGCTGAACACCTCTGTCACCATCCCTTCGGGGCATCAACAGCCCATGCAGGTGAGAGAGAGAGAGCGCCCTGTCAGCGTCTGTGTGGAACGTGGTGACGGGAGGTGGGGGGGGACATAATGTTTGGGTACAACCAGGGCTGACAAGATGGGCCACTGGAAAGAGAGCAGAGGTGAACTTGGTGTCCCCGAGAGGGATACCTGGCTCCTGAAAAGGAGCGGGGGCAGAGTTGGACTGTCGAGGCTAGAACAAGGTGGCCTTTTGGCAGAGGACAGACTGACCGGGAGAGTCCCTGAGCTGCCGGGGATTCACTTGCATTTCTCTCTTCTCTGTCCCTCATTACCTTCAGCTGATCCTGGAGGCCATCAGGGGTACCCACAGTGCCTTTGTCGTTGCTGTGGGTTTTATCTTGATCAATCACGGGACTTGTCGAGGTAAGACAAAATCCAGGGCCCCAGAAAGGGGGCCATGTTCTGAGATGACCGTCCCTGGGACTGTTGAAAATCAAGTTCTCGGTCATGCTTGAGTTTTCACACAGCTTTGTGTTCCATGTTCTGTCCACCTCTACCTTCCTGGTCTTACCAGGATGCTTGCTGGAGTGAGTGTGACTTTGATGCTCTGGATTTCTGTGGCTGGATCCACAACCCCTTACCTAGTGGACGGTGATCCTGAAGAGAGGACCGACATCCTGTTCATGTTGTGTTTCCCGTATCTGGGGAAGACAGTGGACATTTCTGAGGGGCAGTGTTTGTTGAGTGTTTGTTAAGTGAGTGAAGGTTGGGGTTGGAAATGGGAGAGGTGTAAGTTACTCTTTGAGCCTACCCACTCCAACTCGAAGTGAGTAAAGAAGGTGATGGTATGATTTTCACTAAACTCCAGGATTTGTTTGTTTCTTTGTTTTTCTTTGCAGGAATAGTGCCAACAGAGCTTCCTTCCAAATCTCCAGTTTCCCTCCCTGGCCCTTCTGAAACCCCTGTCTCCACAGGAAAACCTATGACTCCCACAGAAAAATCTATGGCCCCCACAGAAAAACCCATGGCTCCCACAGAAAAACCCACTGTCCCCACAGAAAGATCCATGGCTTTCACAGAAAAACACACTGTCCCCAGTGAAATAGCCACTGTCCCCACAAAAAGACCCATGGCCCCCCCAGAAAAACTCACTGTGCCCACAGAAAGACCCATGGTCCCCCCAGAAAAACAGTCTGTCCCCAGTGAAATAGCCACTGTCCCCACAGAAAGACCCATGGCTCTCCCAGAAAAACTCACTGTC